CACACACACACACACACACACACACAACCAGCCAACCAACCAACCAAACAAACAAAAACAGGAATTGGTAGATGGTACCAAAATCATCTACTGAATCAGTCAGAGAACTGTCAATTACACCTGTCAAAACTGACTTCTCACAACTCCAATTCATTTATTGTTAAGGAGAACAATTGTAGATGTCTTTCCCAGCATTTGGAGATGTTTGGTGGACAAATGAAACTAGGAGAGCCTACCAATTGCTCTCCTTAACTTGTCCTATATTATCATTGTCAGAAGAGCAGCCCTCCCTGGCATAATTAAGTACTGAGTACTCTGTCATTTAGAGCTTATTGTTCCAATAGTAGAAATATAGGATAGCATAATGTAGTATTAAACATTAAATAGAAAATTGATGCAAAAATTCGCAAGTGGTCCCTTGTCTCAGATCTGTTGACCTAAAGTCCCACCCACAGAGAAGCATCTGGCTTGACACCCTGTGATCTTGATTTCTTTATCCAGTCTGTCCTGCTTAAGGAAGCCTCTTGTCTGTTGTCTAATCTAAAAGGAAGCAGACGTGTAGGTCTCCTCTGTGTCTCATTTTGTGAGAATCCTAGATATTTCTTTTGCTAGCCTGATTATCACCAATCACAAGTTGCCAATCCACACAGAGATTGCAACAATTAGAGCTTGCCCTTTTGCCTTCAGCCACTGCTTCTCCCTGGCCAAGTTCAGTTTTGAAAGACCGCAAAAAGCTGTTTTGCAGGGGAAGACCTGCTTTGCTGCTTACAGTAGAAACTTGCAAAACTGTACTGGCAGCCAGCCAGAACTGGCTTGTTGTAGTGCAAAGTGCAGCTGTCTTGCTGCTTATAAAAGGGAAATGACAAGCGCCCCAGTGGCAAATGTTTCAAAACGGCTGTTATGTTTGCTGGATGCCTCATACTCTAGGTCACCCTGCCATTCCAAATTCAAATGCCTTCCAGCTGCCAATACACTGTGTGGCTCTTAGTTTGTCATCAAGGATAAGGTTGGATGGGTAGCTCACCTGACACACATCCCCCGCCCCCAATTTTCTCCTCCTGGAATAATCCCTAAGATACAACTTTTACTTTCTCTTTATGACATGTACACGCTCCAGTCATTTTAGAATGTCCTGCCTCCCATGTTAGAAGCCAGGCTGTTGGGTAGGTAGCAAAGAACATCCTCCTGTATGACTCCCCTTCTATGTTATACCTTCCCCAAAGTGATGGGTTGGCCACCCCTTTGCAGGATTTAGGGAGGTGATTGGATATGCTGCATCTCTTTCATCAAGCTTTCTAATTCCTATAATGGCTGACTGGGAAGTTGCTTTTCTTTTGAATTGCACTGATCTTCTCATGTTTTACATGTTGCATTATTTGCTACAAGCTGCCATGTATAAGCAGAAGGCATAGATTTATTAATAAGTAAATATTTGTAATCTCCCTGGGCTGTTGTTTTTGTAAGCTATATAGCTCCTCATCAGCCAGAAACTGAAGCCTCTTTGAAGAAATTCTACCCACTGCTCAGTGCTCCGCACACACATCTAGTTTGAGATTTGTTTTTTCCAAGACCATTCTTTTTGGCAAGGCAAATTATAAAATAGACTTTGGCAGCCATTCTTAATCACATTTGGACAGAAATGACATATCTGTGGGTTTTTATACTTTATGCAAATCATTCTGAAGTCTAGACAAACTATTCAGACTGTCTCTTTGTTTTTGACCTTGGTAATTAAGAGTTATCTTGAGCCCCTTTAATAAAGCTCTACTGGAATTGGTTATAAATTAAATTGGGGTATGAGTCCAAGTTAATTAAATGCATAATAAGAACAGCATTGTTGAAGCTCCTTAAATGTAAAGCTATCCTGTCTCCTTTAACCACTAAGCCTCTCATTACATCCATATTATATATATATTTATTATGTATAAATAGAGTGAAAGGTAATTATGGGGCACTCCTCTGAATGAATGGCTTTCTGTGCAGATTATGGCACTTAAATATACCAATACTTTCATGGAAAAGAAACTTTTTACAAAGCATCCCCTAACAGAGTTGTTTAGATGCTAGAGGAAAGAACAAAACCTTTAAAGTTAGCTAGATATCTTCCTGGCTTCAGAAAACTGACAAACAGTATTAATGATTTTTTTAAATTATTATTTTTTCTTAAATGAGAATATCTGCAAAAGCTTTAGTCCTGGATGATCATGACAAAGCTGCAATGGGATCCAGATTTTTGATTAAGTGTCATGTCACACATTTTTTCTTAAAATTTAGCAACCCATTCGAATTGAGGTGACAGAATGTGCTTTTCCTACTCTGACCTTTGGATAACACTTCGGTCTGCTTGATGAAGAAAAACATTTTAGTAGAAGCTAACCATAAGGTTTTGCATTAGTTATCCTTGAGAGTACTGGTAAGTTTATGATTAATATATGCACGTTAATATCAAGTCAGGCACTTGTTTGTTAACAATTATTCATGGTGACTGAACATTTTGTTGTTGTTCTAATGTACATAAGGGGCAGTGTTAGGTTACCTCTGATTATTTTGTTTTCAATGATATTGTATGTCACGTTAAGTATCATGTAGCGTGGGACAAGGCATTGTTAGCGAAAAGGGATGGGAAAATTAATTGAACAAGAAATTTAAGAAACAAAAGCTTTGAGTGGTTGCAGGGGGTTAAAGTAGCAAATGCCATTAGAAACATTCCCTACCTTAGGCACTAAGCTTTACAGAAAGCAGTGCAGATTCCCAAGTATTTAATGAAGCCAAATGCTCAAGAGCTTCCATTTCAATAGAGGTAACCCTGGCTTAAGAACAGTACCGTAAATGCCGGCGTATAAGACGACTTCTGCGAGTGCTGAAATCGGCGCCAAAGACAGGGGTCGTCTTATACGCCGAGTCGTCTTATACGCCGGAAATACTGGTAGTTTCCGGCGTATAAGACAACGTTCTAGGAATGCGGCCCGGCTATAAAGACGGGGGTCTTATACGCCGGGTCGCCTTGTACGCCGGCATTTACGGTAATTAGGACCAGAATGTCTCTCACTAAGCGATGTGGTCATAGAGTGCAATATCAGGTGATTGTATCGCTTAGCAATGGCAATTATGGCAGTCTCAGGGTATCATCATTAAGCAAATCACCATGAGTCTTTAAGTGAGGACGTCATGTCCCTACGACTTTCGATTTCCTACCTGCTTCCCCATTGACTTTGCTTGGGAGAAACCAACAGGGAAGATGACAAAATGTGATCTTGTGAACACAGGAGCTCTGTGATACCTGGAGCTCTGAGGACTGGTTATAAGTAGCATACATTCAATGCTGTCGCAAGTTCAAACAGTAGCTGAATAATGAGTGGTTGTTCACTGAGGACCACTTGTATCCATTTACATTGTTCACACAGGAAATATTTGTAACCTGCTGAAGAAAATGTCTACATCTACTGTGATTACAGAACACATAGAGTGTTGGAATGGAAGGTATTCATCTCCAGAAGTCCAAAGAGATCAGTCAAGTTAATTCTTTTCACTGGGATCAAATGCCAACTGTTTTTATATGAGCCGGTGATATTGGAGGTCTATGCTTATTCACTTTTCGAGAAGCCCTTTTGCACACCATACATTTGTGAAGCAGGACTGAGGAAGACTTCCAAGGCCATTCAAAACAACTACATGTGAATTAATAAAATGAGATAGTTAATGTTTGGCAATTATGTACATTCCCGATGAAAGATATGTAGGATCAATCTGAATCTAGATTGTACTAACATACCTCTTCTGTTCACACAATTTCCAGTATTGAAAATTAGGGGACCTTCCTGAGTAGTTTTTGATAATGCCCATGCAATTGCACTTTATCTGCATATTGATGATCCTGCATTCCAGACTGAAGGATGACCTGCTTCAGTGGAGCAGGGGAAGAGAACCAAGCTACAAGGCTCTAATCTTGGCAAACTTCAAGGTATAAGGACTTCAGTTCCCAAAATGTTGATCTATGGTCCATGCAGGCTGTGGAATTCTTGGGAAATGCTATCCTAAGACAACATACACTAATATATACGCAGACCTGACCTCTAATCCTATTTTACCATTCCCTGCTAAAACCAGTGCTTTTTTTCTTAAAAAAAAAAAAGGTGCCAGAACACACATGTCATACAACCCGCCTTGCCTACCCTACAAGGTTCCATCCAAAAAAGGTGCCGGAATTCCGTTCTGGGCATCCTATGAGAAAAAAAGCCCTGGCTAAAACAGAGAAAATTATAAAACAGTGCTTCCAATCCCCAAACCACGCAGACTGTCCTAAACTACATCAGGGTTGATTATTTTTAAAGTGGCCAAGAGATCTAAAAAAAAAAAAAAAACCAGGAGAGGGACCACATCTTTACTTAGCTCCTTCAGAAATCATCTATCACAACAAATAATGTTGTTTCTGCCCAGGTCTGAATCCTGATATTCATGTAATCTAATTCTTCTAAGTCATTCTGCAGCTGTCAACTGCATACTATTTCATCAATCTTTCCCCAAAGTGCAGATTTTGGACTGGGTAATATTGTTCAATATAACTTGATTGAAGGAGGAAAGGAAAAGGGAGCAAACTGGCTACATCCAACTAATCCAGCACCAAGAAGAAACCAGAAAGGGCAGGGGTCTAATCCATGGGTGGTAGCATCTTATTTACTTCATCTGATTCAACATGTCAAAGATCACAAAACACATCCATAGTTCAGTAATAATTACTATATGGATTGCAAAATCAAGCCCACAAGGGCTATTAAACTTAATATTAGCATTCCAGAGCATTTTTACAAACGCTCACAGACAAACAGCTCTCAATTCCCACCTTCCAAATAAATAGAAAAACTGGTTTAACCACTCTGACTCTCCAAACATAAGAACTATGTAATGCAGATACCTACACCTATTATATCATATTATTCCCAATACCTTTGTTTTCCTGTTCTACATAAAGGTAGTAGTTGACTTACAATCACAATTGGGACCAGAATTTCCAGTTGCCAAGCACCCACATTTTGATCTCATGGCTGTGTGTCTACTGTGACAGTTGTAAGTGCAAGGATTTTTTTCAGTGCCATTGTGACTTCAAATGTTGGCTAAATGAATGGTTATATGTCTTAGAATTCCTTACTTAGAATAACAGAGTTGGAAGGGGCCTTGGAAAATGTCTTGTCCAACCTCCTGCTCAGGCAGGAAACCCTATACCATTTCAGATAAATGGTTGTCCAATCTCCTCTTAAAAACTACCAATGTTGGAGCATTCACAACTTCTGGAGGCAGGTTGTTCCACTGATTAATTGTTATAACTGTCAGGAAAGTTCTTCTTAGTTCTAGGTTGCTTCTCTCCTTGCTTAGTTTCCACCCGTTGCTTCTTGTCCTGCCTTCAGGCACTTTGGAGAACAGCTTGACTCCCTCGTCTTTGTGGCAGCCCCTGAGAATTGGAATACTGCTATCATGTCCCCTCTCATCCTTCTCTTCATTAAACTAGACATACCAAATTCCAGCAACTGTTCTTTATATGTTTTAGCTTCCAGTCCTCTAATTATCTTTGTTGCTTTTCTTTGCACTCTTTCTTGAGTCTCAACATCAAGAAACGCAAAACTGAGTGCAGTATTCCAAATGTGCTCATGCCAAAACATTATATAGTGGTAATTTTGATTCTATCCCTCTGTTAATGCAGCCTAGAACTGTAATTATTGATTATTTTTGAATAATTATGTATTAAGGTATTATTTTAGATCTCACAATAGGAAAAACTGTGAGATCTAAGTATTGAATGGAAACATATTGCTATAACAGAAGTGAGTACCTAAGCAACTCTCGCTGATCTAAAATAAAACACCCATATCAACCAAAGAAAAACAAAGGATCTGAATAAGGACATGGTTAATATTTGGACATAAGACTACCAGAAAATCTAAGGTTGGAAATCCTGGAAAAAATTAGTGGCAAATGGCTTCCATGTTGTTGTTGAGGAAACGCCTGATTACTTCTGAGGATGGCTGTTAAAAAAGATGGTTTAATGCCAGCTATTGAAAAGGGACAAGGAGAAATAGTGCTGAAAAGAATTTGACTAATTAGATGCTTCTTTCATCCTGTCATTGTACAGTGATATGTCTAGGGAAGTATACAGGTAGTCCTTGACTTACAACCACATTTGGGATCAGAATTTTCATTGTTAAACAAAGTGATTGATAAGTGAGTTGCAGCTGGTTTTATAACCGTTTTTGCCATGATTGTTAAGGGAATCACTGCAGTTAAACGAATCAAATGGTCGTTAAGCAAATCTGACTTTCCCCATTGATTTTGCTTGTCAGAAGCTGGTTGGGAAAGTTGCAAATTGTGATTACATGACCCCAGGATGCCTCAATCATTATAAATGCATGCTAATTGCCAAAACCATGAATTTTGATCACGTGACCATGGGAAGGCTACGATGGTTGTAAGTATGACTTACCAGTTGTAAGTCATTTTTTTCAGGGTCATTGTAACTTCAGATGGTCATTAAACAAATGACTATAAGTCGAGGACTACCTGCATATATCACATTAGTTAAATTCAGGAAGAGATGATAGGAAAGATGTTGTCCCCTCTCCTTTAAAAAATGAGGTTCCTCCCCCTCACCTTCCTATGGATAGTGGTTTTCCTAAATCTAAAAGGACAAACTCACCTTAGGAATTACCATAACATGATCTTACATTTAAATATAATTTGAGATATTAAGCTGTGCTGCTATTCAGCCATGGAGAAATTTTGCTGGGGGAAAAAAGGGTTTTTAATGATTTGCCATAGCATCTCCCTCCTTCGAAGTTAAACATCAATTCCTGTTGCTACTATGATACCCATCAATAGGATAACCCACTTTTATCCTTTTGCTGGTTTTCAGAGGCTGAGAAAGATGCGATGCCTGATCATCACTAGTGACTTCTGATCACTTGTTTTCGGGAGATCAAAGAGGTTAACATTGCTGCTCTTTTAGCTCTATGTTCCCCTTGCCCTATAATTTTAAGCTTGTTTCTGTAAAGGAATTAAACATGAACAAATGAACAAGATGAAGAGGCTCTATTCAGCTGAAATATAGTTTCCAGGTGTGCACATGTTGTGTGAAAACCTCAACTGGACAAATGAAGACTAACTTCTATATAAGGCAATAGGGTAATTTATTGACTAATTGATTATGTGCCATCCAGCTGATGTCAATTCTTACTTGTAAAGTTCTACAGTCAAAAACTGGAATATAAGAAGAAACCTCAGTGTCCGAGCACTTAAATCCAAGACTGCCAGTTCAAAAGTGGTTCTGCATCCCTGCTATTCCATAATGTTGACTGTCTCTGAGTGAATTTAGTTTTAGCTCAGCTGAAGTCCCAGAAAAACAGTATGCTATTCTTTAGCTTTTGAAACACTGTGATTCTTTCCCCCTTTGTAAGAATTATTGGTTTATCATGTCACCAAGATCTTGGCTTCAGATTTTCCAAAGAGAAAGGTCATTTGGTATCCTTTTGGTTGCCCATCGTGGTGGGATTTTTCCTTCCTTCCTTCCTTCCTTCCTTCCTTCCTTCCTTCCTTCCTTCCTTCCTTCCTTCCTTCCTTCCTTCCTTCCTTCCTTCCTTCCTTCCTTCCTTCCTTCTATCCCAATAAATCTTACAAAGACTCATCAACCAGCCTACCCCATTGCTTGGGAAAATACCCAGGTTTGTAATCACAGTGTAAGCTCTACGGATCTCCTGGTGGAGGCTGTTGCAGAGAGCAGGTGCTGTGACAGAGAAGGCACTCTTCAGAGGTCTTGATAGATGACATTGGTTAATTGGGGGCATAGTCATAGAATGCCTTTGTAGGCATAGGATCACAGAAGTAGAAGTTGCATTTAGACCACAGAGTCCAATCATTGGTTCAGTGCAGAAATTCAAATTAGGATTCCCGACAGATGGTTGCCTAGTCTGCACTTCAACAAATGCAATGAAGGAGACCCTACCAGCGGTCTGGGTAACTGATTTCACTACTGAACTGCTTTTATTGTTAGGAATATATATGTCTGCATATACACACATATATACTTAAACACACTTTAGTATTCAATTACACAATGTCTTTCTTAACTTAAAATCCATCATTCCATGTATTACCCTCTGGACAACAGAAGAGAGATCTTGAACTTCTTCTATATGGCTTTCCCACTTGAACAGTGCTATCATATCCTCCATCAATCATCTTTTCTGAAAGCTAAATATATCCCTTTGATCTCTCTACACAGGACTTAACTTCTAGGCCCAGAATCACCCCTGTTGTCCTTCTGTGAACTTGGCCTGATATTTCTTTCTTGAAGCGTGGTGCCCAAAACAGTTCACACTTATTGAGATGGAGTCAGACCACAGCAGAATAAAGTGGAATTATTGTTTCCCGTGACTTGGAAAATAAACTTCAATTGATATGGACTCAAAACACATGTGTCTTTTTTAAAGCCACATCATACTGCTGGCTTATATTTCATTTGCAGAGTACCTTTATTCCAAGATCTTTTTCACAGGTACAAGAAAAGCATTCCCATCTTCTATCTCTGCATTTCCCTTTGTTAAGTTTCATTCAGTTACTTATTTGTTGTTTATCTTTAACCTACCAATATCAACATTATTTTGAATACTTCTCCCATCCAATTTTGTATAAGCCACTTATTTGATAAATATATTTTCCACGTCTTCATCCAAGTCAGTAGGTCAACACTGAAGCAAATACTGAAGAATGGAGGCCCCAGCATGGTTGTCCAACAGGAAGGGACAAGGAGAAGAAATGGAAAAAAAAAAAGTTTTGGTCTATAACACAAATCCTACCTTCTTTGCTACTTTTGTAATTGGTTAGTACTAATTTACCTGGTTATATTCATTGTAACAATTGCATAATAGCCTCAATGCTAATGCTAATTAATTAATGCTAACTCTTCCTCCTCTGGAGGGAAGCTGAGAAAAGACATTTAAGAGTTTTCACTTTCATTTTTTTTTCATCTTTTGTTTTAGTTAAAGGTTGCTCAGATTAACTCAGAGTTATGGCTGAAATGACACAGGGGTGTCAAACTCAATTTCATTGAGGGCTGCACCAACATTGTGGTTGCCCTCAGGGGGCCGGGTAGATGTGGCCAGGATGGGTGTGGCTTACTGAGTGGGCGTGGATGGAGTGGGTGTGGCCTACTGGGTGGGTGTGGCCAGCTCTACATCGTTCATGTCAAGGGTGCCTGGGGGGGCCTGGGCAGGAGTGGGACAGATCTGAGGGTCTCCGGCAGAAGGGGGTGGGACCAGGACAAGTGCCAAGGCATGGTCCACTGGAGGAGCCTCACTGTTCCTCTCAGGTCATGCAGGGGGGGGGGAGCTTATGGAGCTAAGACTGAATGCATTTCAGCATAAATGGCCACCACAGAATTGGCTCCCAGCTGGCCTGGGCCAGGGCCAAGGCAGAGGGGGCCGTTCCCTCACTGTTTCCAGGATGGCTTCATGGGCCACATGAAACCACTTTGTGGGCCGCATCCGGCCCCCAGGCCTTGTGTTTGACATGTCTGCAGTACACTGTGGTTAAACTTAAAAGGTGAATAGAATCATTCAGCTTTCTTATCACAACAGTATTGGAAGAAAAGATAAGAGGACAGCATGCAAACCTGGGAAACACTAAGCTCATTCTTGTAAAACCAAGTCTTATTTTAGACCTGATTTTAATTTAGTGTCCCCACCAGGGTAGAACGAGAATGAGCAATGTGCTTAAAATCTTAACTTCTGTCTCACATCTGAACTAAATATTAGCATTACATCCTACTTTTTTTAAAAAAAAAAATAGCATTGCATTCTATCCTATTCTGGCAATGTGTTGTAAAGATTACTAAGAACATTGAAAAATAAATTAGTAGTATTGGTATTAAAGACCTTACAAATCCTACAGAAATGACAGTGAGAGAAAACATAGCTAGCTGATGTTTGTAATACTAAAACAGCTAGAAATTAAACATCTGTAATGCTGGTCCTATACTGGTTATTGCCTACACACAATTTAAACACAGTCAATCTGTATTTTATAGGTATACACAGTTTATACTTTCTTTTTAAGTACTTCCTAAATAGCATTCAAGAGGAGTAAAGCCTTTAGTTAAGGAAACATTCAATGAGAACATTTTATGCACGTTAGTGGAAGAACATTGCATGTTAGAAGTACAAAGCCATGAAAAGATTAATATTATCAGTGGTTTCTGCAAGGAATAATTGCCAGCATCTAATGCTGTTAAGCCCTAAATGGTGCATACAATGTCTATAGGCTTTCTATTGAAAGCAGTGCTATTTGTATGGATACTGCAGGAAGGAGGGGTTACACATTGGCAGAGAATGTGCTTATTCTACACAATCACTGGAAAAGAGGAAAAAACAAGCAATAAAGAGGCGAGAGCTGATGTTGGTAGTAATTTGTGAAAATTTGTGTAAAGCAGTGGTTGCTTGCTTGAATTGATCAAGTATTATATCATTTGTATTAGGACTTGGCAATTTTGAAAAACAGGGCATCCTTCTGTGCTTAGTATGGAAAAGGCGAAATAGTCACAGACTGTGGTTTGGATGCAGATGCTTCCTGTGCTCCTTTAAGATTTTACAAAGGCCTGCATTTCAGACAGACTGCTCAGTAAAACAGCTACCAGCAAATCCAAACAAGAATAAGCAATCCAATAAATGTTAACTTAGAAATAGATCAAGCAGGATTAGTTTTGCTGCCTAGATTAGTCCAAGCCAAGAAGTAATGTTCATTGGATCCGATCCACTCTTCTCATTTTCTAAGGCTTACTCTAAAGCAGTACAGAACATGATGTGCATATATAAGGGTCCTGTTTGATCCTTCGTAACCTATCATAGCAAGGGTGAAAAACCATTTTACATAACTGGTATGAGTATATTTGACTCAGTGAGAATTATTAAAGCAATTGCCTGATGTCATATGAATCTGGGCAGAAATGTCACAAAGTTTATATGTATAGTTTTTCTCCGCTGATACTACAGATTGGCTGCTGAGTAATTTTAATGTCAACAATATGGAATTGAGAGAGCTGGAGATTTCAAAATCCAAAAGCAGCTTAAACTATCTGTTTACGACCCATAAATTGGGGTGGGGGTGGGGTAAAGAAAGAGGCATTATGGTAGATCAAAGAAAAAAATAGAAGTCAGTTAAAAGCAAAATGCATATATATCTAGGTAAAAATAAAATTTTGCCTGTTGGCTTTACTTCCTCTTATATTTAGCATAACATATTCAGAAAGCCAATACCTACACAAAATGCACAAAATAGAGTTTACATCTACATATTTTATAAGAGAGGTGAAGCTTAGCATGTATTGGTTATAAAATGGACTTTGCACAAATGTTATTCTGAATAAGTATAGATGGTGGGATTGAGCAGTTACAACTTCTATCTACTTCTTTGTCCATGTCTTAAGAACAGGGGTCTTCAAATTTGGCCCTTTTATGACTTGTGGACTTCAATTCCCAGAATTCCTCAGCCAGCATGCCTGAATAAACAGCATGAATAAACGAGATGATACCTCCCGCCTACCAGCCATTTGGAAACCCACCCTTATTGACAAACGAGTCCCTAACACAAAGAATGACACCAGACCCACACTCACAAAAACCATACAGGATGTCACCACCACACATCCACGCAAAAAGAAACCCAAACCTACACCGATGATGAGGCACGACCACAAACCAGAAACCAGAACACAGCTGCATCACTAGCCACTTTAAACCCCTCCAATCCATACATGAAACAAACTGACACCTACCATGAAGATGAGGCACAACCACAAACGCAAAGCCAAACAACAGCAACGCAGCTCACCATCTCAAATCTCCCTGCAACTCAGACTAACCCGAGCACAACAAAGCCCCCACCCAAACAGAACACTCCCCCATCCAATCAGAGCACAGCCAAGCCCCTCACCAATCAGAACACACCTCCACCCAATCAGAACACAGCAAAGCTTCCACCCAATCAGTTCATACCTCCACTGGCAGTTAAAAGGAAGAAACAGCTATGATCACACATTGCTCCTAGAAGCACAAAGCCGAAAACACCAGCCTGAAGATGATGAATTGGACTTTGTTGAAACATCGCCAAGATACTTCCAATTTTACGCGGGAGACAACCCGAATAACCAAAGACCTACATATATATATAATGACTAAATGATAATTTGAAATTCTAATTGCCAAGGTCTATGCAGAAGGGGACAATGCGAGAAAAATACATAAATCCATTTCTGTATAATGTCTGCTGCCAACGGCAATTGCTTAAAAATTGTTAAGGAATTTTGGATATATAGTCTACTACATCTGTAGATGTACATGTACATCAGGGGTGTCAAACTGTTGTCCCATGGGCCGGATGCATCATAGCGAAACCGTACCCACCCCATTGCCGGCAATGGCAAAAAAGTCATGATACGATGCGACACGTCACGTGACGTAGCGAGTTTGACACCCCTGTTCTACATCAAGTTGGAAAGATTACTCTGAACAACTTGTATAACAACTCGTATGATACAAAACAGTTACCAAAATGCATCCTAGTTTCCAATGAACTGGGCTGTAGTTCATCCCATAATAAAAGCATCCATTATTCTTTAAAGTATGAAAGGCCATATTATTTGTGCTGCACAATAGTGAAGCATGTTCAACGCATGCTGGTTGGGTTTCCAGGAACTGTAGAATTCTGTGTCCCCAAATAGGTACTTCCTCATGGCATTTTTTTCACTCCAAAGTTCAAGAACAAAAGTATAAATAAAGTGCTGCCACCATCAGCATTTTCAGCATTCAGTGCATGTTCTTTACTGAAAAAGAAAATCAAATAGTTGCAATAAAAGAGTGGATGTGAAGCAACGAAGCCACAATTTCTGTGTTTGTATTTAAAAATTTATCGCTGGCTAGGCGGGTGAAAGAAGAGCAATCTGGCAATTTTGCAACCAGGTGCTTTTGCCATGTGTTACAGTCATATTGTGGTGTCCTGAATGAAGGATGGGAGGAAATACATTTTAAACAATGCTTACAGCTTGACATCATAAACACACTGGACAGTGAAGAGTGAGAGCAAAAGGAACAAACGTTTTATTAGTCCACAATCTCACACAAAAGATACAGCAAAAAAAAAAAATATGGCAACCTCTGTATCCACTAGGCAGCTACTAAGGAGAAACCATCAAACTACAGATAGGTAGAAGAGGGAACAGGCCAAACTTTTATAATTTTTTGCCAGCTGCTTTTACCTGGGCTTCTGTACATGTTGTATAGGTGTGAAAAAGTGTAGAGTTTAAACAGGCTAGTTCATTCCCAGTGGTATTTCGAATTTGTATTTTAAGTTTGAATTAATAGGGAGTAGGTTCTGACTTTTGTCTCCTTATCACCACTGTTGTGTCCTAAGC